GCCGTGCGCCTGGCAGAAGATCGCGTCACCAAACAGCCCTACGACAAAGTCCTGACTTGCCTCCAACAAGGCCCCCAACGCCGACGCCTGCCACCTGCAAGATAGTCATCAAGACATCAGTGCAAAGCTCGAACATTGACCAGTTCATCTCCCGCATGATGTCCGGAACCCCGCCAATGTACCCGCTTTCGGAAAATAGCCGGTCCACGGCTCGAGTGTTGCAGAGGTTCTCACTCATGAAATCCAAAATCACAATGATCCGCCTACTTTCGGAGATGGCCCGGCCGCAGTCTTGTCCGAGTAATCACTTTCGGAAAGCTGGCTGCCGGATCGGATCATTGGGCCCAGAGCAAAGCAGACCGCATGCTTTCAAAACCATTAAACTTCATGGAGAAAGCTTTTCAGTCCAAAAAAACGACCGCCCACATCATCAAAAAACTTACATGAGGTCTTCTCGTTTCGACTCACGTGTTGCACAGGCGCTTCACGATCCGGGCGAATGTGCTTCGTGGAATAAGGTTGTCCGTGCTCTTCTGGTACTTCCTAATTTCTCTGAGCGCTACGGTGCCCGGCTTGTACCGCCGCGGCCTCTTCGCGGACTCCCAGCGCCTGAGCGCCGCCAATGTTTTCCGGTTGCCTCCAACCACCGCCTTTCCACTGCCTCCCATCGCGAGCTTTTGCTTCCCCTCCCCAGCTGCCGGCTTCCCAATGGCGCCCGTCGGTGCTACTTTCTTTTTTTGGGCACCCCCTGAGCTTTTCTGCCCCGTGGCCCCTGCTGCCTCCGGCTTGCCTGCAAGCGCCACCGCCTCAGCCACCGGCTTCTTGCCCCCCACCAGGCCCCCACCACGGCCCAGACGCTTGATGGCTTTCGACCTGTTGCTTTGCTTTGCGGCTTCTTTCGAGGCTGCTTGCCGGCCGTCACAAGTTCTCTCGAGGTCTTTCGAAAGCTTGCTACTGCTGCCTTGTGCCTCCTGTGCTGCTCTGCTGGGTCCATATCCCGACCAGGATCTCCCAACATCGACTGCAGCTCCCCCCCTTCTTCTTCCTCTTCATCCTCTGCGGGCGCTTCCTCCCCTCGTGCATGTTGCTTGAACGTCATTTCGGCTTGCAGCTCCGATTCGGTGGGCGCATCGGGATCGTCTTCCCCCGCCGCATTCAAGTGTCCGCTTTTCTGAGGATCGTCTTCCTCAGGTTCTCAGTGACCGAGGGGGTTCTCAAATGGAGCATTGTTCCGTGCAATGTCGTCAATCTGAGCCCGTTATTCTTCTGAGCTCATAATGCGCCGCTCCTTTCGGACTTCTTCCGGAGCCCGTTCCTCTGTCTGCATGGTCTCTGGCGGAGTAGATTGCTCCCCGCTTCGAAGCTCTGCAAATTGTGCTAGAAAATGAGCTTCCGCCTCCGTTTTTTTCTCTGGGGACCACTTGTTTTGCGTAGCAAGGGTTTCCACGTATGACAGATAACCCTCTAGTCCCCAGTTAGCATGAAGGCCAAACTCGTCTAGCTCTAGTATGTCGATTGTAGGTTCGGACCCCCTCGGGACTTGCGCTCCCCCCGGGTTCTCCAAGTTACCAACCTCATCCTCTGCTGCGGCCACCTTCTCCGCTTGGTGGCCCCGTTGCAATTTTGGTCGCATGCTGATGCACGGCCTTTGCAAATGAAGGAAGCGTTGGAAGCTTGCGGCTGATCGGAGGCGGCGCCCTCCGCGAAAGAGACCACGAAAAATTATGTTTCAAGGCAGACTTTTGACGAACTAGCTTGCAATGGATTGTTCGATTAAATTAGGGTTTGCTTAGGGTCTCACACGCTTGGCGAATGTCACGCTCCCGCTCTTTTACTTCATTTTCGACGATATAGCTCCTGCAGCCTATATAGGTCGACTCAAGGCTCACAACATCGAAACCGGTCATAGGTCGACGAATAGTGGGTTTTACACCTACGCTGCAGCCTGTCAAGCTATCGAAATCGAACGCAAATTACGAAGTGTCTTGAATTGACTTTCAAACTCGGCCCATGCACGGCCAAAATTCAGGTTGCTTGCATGGTAGGTTTCTGAAGTTCAAAGTTGGAAGGCGCTCAAAACAGCCGCGAACATACATTGGCGTTGCTTTCACTGCGCTTGATAATGAGAGCAGTTGTCCGGTCTTCAAGCGATGACATTCCAGACGAAGAGGTCAATGGGCTAGAGAATCCAAACATTCTGTCGGAGCAAGCAAATCTAAATCAGCAGGAAGCGGAGGATTTGGAGGCAGCCGCATATAGCAAGAGATCGCCCTTGGAAAAGGGACCTCTTCTTATGTCAATCCCCTTGCAGAATGTTGAAGAAGTTACGGAAGTCACCGGAGAGGAGGAGCAAGAGCCCTTGACTTTTGCGCAGCAGATTGCACTTGCAGACGACGTCACCAAAGAAGAACACGCGGCTTACAAAGCGGCGCAGGCTAGAAAGGCAGAGAAGCACGCCAAGGGGCAGGCGGCCGCACTAGCGGCATTCGAAGCAGCGAGCAAAGCTGCCCCGGGCCTCAAATGAAAAAGGGCGCTAACAGAAAGTCCTTTTCCAAGCTCGGGGCAACGGGAAGGCTGAGGCCTGGTGCAGCGGTGCTCCAAGGATTCCCGGCAGTGCCACCACTGGGGGAAACAGCAAGGGGAAGGCAGCAGAAGGAGCCAGCCAGCAAGCAGGGGATAAGGGCAAGAACAAGTTCCAGAGCAAGGCACCAAGAAGCCTACCAGCACGGGAGACAGAGGCAAAGAAGGCGGCAGCAGGTATTGGCTTTTGAATTTGCTAGGCCTCGCTTTGTCAGCTCAATGCGCTTGGTTACAACATCCTAGCTAGCGGGTTCAGTGTATCCCAAACAGGTTGCATGAGCGGTTGATGGTAAATGGGCTGTAGATGTGAGCTCAAATGTTACTGGTTCATGAGCGTCCTAGGGATAGATGCACGCCGGTTGTCTTTGAACATGATGCTTCGGCGCCTCTTAGACCAGCTGTCAAGTTGTCGTCAAAGCTTTGGTACTTTAGCAACTTCAGCTAGGAGTTTATTCAGAACATGGTGCATACTCTCGTTTTAAAGTGGTGGGCGCTCATGTTGATCGGAATGCATATGGTTTATTCCAAAATACGACCACCTCCTTCTTTGTTCTATGATGGGTTTGTTCAAAGCACCTGCATGTTTGCTGAGCTGCAAGATCATGAGGATCTTTTTGTCAGCTCAGTGCACTTGGTTTGAGCATTCTTGACGAGCTGGTTGTTTCCCAAACAGAGTGCAGAAGCAGTTTGTGGTATATGGGCTGTAAAGGTTGAGCTCAATTTGATCACTTCATGAGCGTCTTGGGCCTAGTTTGCAAGCGGAGGGTCCCTAAAACACGGTACTTGCGGCGTTTTTGGTCCAGCTGCCAATTGGTGGTCAAGGCAATGGTTTCATAGCTGCTCCAGCTAGGTTGTTTGTTTAAACTACTAGTGTATGGTCTCAGTTTAGTATGGTGGGCTCTTGTGTAAACCTAATACAATTGGTTTGTTGCAAAGTATAAGCACTTTGTTTGTTTTGCAGGCAACAAGCGCAAGGCGCCAGAAGGTCCAGCTCCCACCTCCAAGCGTGATCCAAAGAAGCCGCATCGGTACAGGCCAGGCACCCTAGCCCTCAGGGAGATCCGGAAGTACCAAAAGAGCACGGAACCTGTCGTCCCAGGCTCTCGTTCGGTCGGCTCGTGCGTGAGCTGTGCGACACGGAGTGGAACAAGAGGGGAAAGAGCTACGGCCGCAGGTTAGCATCTCAGTTGAAATCGAGTAGTTGACGTCTATTGTTCGATATTACTACGTTGGGCTGTGATGTGGAGCTTCAAGCATGTCGGAACGAGCAACTTGGGCAGGAATTTGTGGTATCTGGTGTTTGAAATGAGCTGCCCACATTGTCGTTGAGCTGGCAGGTAAACAAAGTTGCAAATGCAAGCATTCTGATCATGTGGGCAACAATCTCCCGAAGGAAGCGGCAACTCAACTAGCATGATTTGCGCAGCAAAAGTATGCGGGTCTCTTTGCACTGGTAGAAATAACCAACTCCCGGAATCATATGTGCTTCTACACCTGTCCTTCCAATCGGACGGTCCAGTTCCAAAAGTGCGTAACAGAA